GATTCAACTACACTCTCTATTTTTGCCAAGAGATGGGGTTGCGAGGCTGAAACATTGCCATCTAAATACCTTGGACTGCCACTCTGCCTTGGCAAACCAAAATCAAGACTGTGGTCTCATATCATAGACAAAGTGGACCGTAGACTCGCAGGATGGAAAGGGCGCTTCCTCTCACTGAGAGGAAGGCTAACACCAGTCAAAGTCACTCTGGCTAACATCCCGGTCTACCAAATGTCCATCTTCCACATGCCCGTGGCAGTCAGTTCCATAATCAAACTCTTAATGAGAAGGTTTTTCTAGAGTGGAGATGGAATCAATAATAAATTCCACTTACTTGCTTGGGATAAACTTTGCCAGTCCAAGCAAAGGGGAGGGCTAGTGATCAAGAATCTTATAACCCAGAATTTGGCTCTCTTGGGCAAATGGTGTTGGCGCAAAACAAACCTCAGGGATCAGTTGTGGATAGACATACTCAAACATACGTACCACCGCTCCAATACACCATGGTTGCCGAATTGTAGGACAAACCAAAGATCCACCGACATCTGGAGGTCGATATGCTCTGCCATCCATGCTTTCAAATCCACCTTCTTAGCACCCACAGGTCCAGATCATATCATTTGGACACCTACACCCTCAAGACTCTTCACAGTGTCATCCTGTTATAAAAGCCTCTCTCTACCCCCAACACTCCCCTTAGCGCCTGTCGCTACCGCTGCTCAAGCCTGGGACTCCTTCGCCCCCCCCAAAAATCAAGATATTCATGTCTGGCTCTCTCCCAAAGAGTCCTCACAGTGGATCAATTGTAGAGAAGGGGCATCCCAATCCCTAATCGATGTGTCATGTACCTAACTGCTGAGGAATCAAACAACCGCCTACTGCTGCATTGTCCTTTTACCTTCAACATATGGGGGGCAATTCTTAAACTCTTCAATGTCCAGTGGGTTTTACCGACAGAGGTAACTTCCATCATGTCAGCCATTAAACATTATCCCTGGCCTAAGAAGGGGATAGTTCTCTAGCGATCCTCGGTGGCAGCCACATGATGGGCCATATGGATCGAGCGAAATAACAGAACATTCCGGAGGGATTACTACCCTTGGACCAAAGTCTTTGACAAGCTCAAGTCCACTGTTATATTCTAGGTAACCAATCACCGCTATTACAAAGGAATTCCAGCCTTGGTATTCAGCCACGATTGGCACAATGTCCTTCAAACCCATCGAGTGGGTCTGCCAAGGACCACTAGGTGGAAACCCCCACCAACAGGACATCTCAAACTAAATTTCGATGGATGCTCTATTAGGAACCATGGTCCATCAGGAGTAGGAGCCATCCTTAGAGACCACCAGGGCTCTGTTGGAAGGCTTAAAGCTCTGTTGGACGGCTTACAGCTCATAGACCATCCCCACTTACACTCTCTAGTGGTGGAGGGAGACTCCAAGAACACTATTTCTTGGGTTCAAAAAATCTCTCTTTCTCCTCCCCCCGGTTCTTGGCACATGTGTTTGATGAGATTGATCACCTCTGCAGGAATATGTCCTTCGAGTGGATGCATACATGGAGGGAAAGAAACCAGGATCTGATACGCTCGCCAAACAAGCAGTAGAGATGCGATCAACTAACTTTTTTTGGGTTTTTGTCTTTTTTGGACAGTTCTTAGTCTTCGTCTTCTAATCAACCTGTTTTATTAGGTTCCTTTGTTCCATTGTAACCTCCAAAAAAATTGTAACCTCCAAAAAAAGGACTTGATTCTTCTTTTTTGGTTCTCATTTCCCTTGAGCATCCTCCTCTGTGGACCGCCAAGGCCTTTTTGTACTTTCCCCTTTCATCCATTAAAGGTTAACACTATCAAAAAAAAAAAAAACCACTAACACATTCTCATTTTGGGTATGTAAGACAATTCACACTACTCGATTTTCCAATAAATTAAATAACTATTATGGAATTGTCGGATAAGCTCATAAATTTACTTTCTTGGATTAGCATCAAACAGTGTTTCAAAAAACAAAAAACACTAGGCGGCACCTAGGTGGCCCGGGGTCCAGGCCGTCCAGTGCATAGGCGGGTGCCCAGAAACTTGGCGGCCTGGTAGACTAAAGTTTTTTTAAGGTCATATTTTGGGTAAAAAATTAAAATACATATTGAGACATATTTTAGTCCATAATTCCATGCATTTTAAATTCAAAAATCAAACTTCACATATTTTAGTCCTAATTCCATGCATTTTAAATTAAAAAATCAAACTTTGAAGTTTAAAGTTCAAACCATTAGGCATCAAGTGTTAGACCATATCCATAGTCCATATGATAATCCAAACTACATGAGCTCCATAGTCCATACCCATCTCTTTAAAATGGTCCAACCTCTAACGGGCTTAGATTTAAAATGAATCTAAACCCTAAACCCCACTTTATACTATATTATTTTAATCAAACATAGGGGAAATGAATCTAAAACCTACACCCCACTTTTTACTATCTTATTATCATAGGAGGAAAATGAATCTAAAACCTAAACCCCAATTTTTACTCTCTTATTATCAAACATAGGCAATCTAAAACCTAAACCCCACTATTTACTGTCTTATTACTATCTTATTTTTATCAAACATAGGCTGGTCAGGCTGGGCTACCTCCAAAGGACTTAGGGCAGGTCCATGCCCATCTCTTTCTTTAAAATGGTCCAAGCTCTAATGGGATTAGATTTAAATGAACCTAAAACCTAAACCCCACTTTTTACTATCTTATTTTTATCAAACAACCAAAAATACTCAAGGATCATGACTGACTGCCCTGTGCACAGGCCTGGGCCTGGGCGACCATCCCCTCCAATTTGCCGAATAAGATTACAAACTACCAACTACAAGTACATTGAAAACGTCCTCTTTGATCAAAACCCTAACTCCAAATCAACTGAAAAGAGTACCAATTCGTGTCAAATTCTGCTTAATTTCGAGCCCGAGATAGGATAAACGAGCCCGAGAAGTACAACATTTGTTCCTCATTAAATTTATAACTGAAGAAGCATCGAATTCACAGGTGAAAAGGCCTCAAGCATTCAACAATTGCGATAACCACTAAACAGAAAAATAAAAAACCTACAGAGAGAGAGAGTAGGAAATTGGTAATCGCCTTACCTTAAGACGAAGCTCTGGAACAAAAGGAAATTCATATGGAAGAATGGCAAAACAATGTCAATGAAAATAAATTAGGGTTTAGTGGGGAAGAAAGCAGTGAGTCTCTGGTGCGCGGAAGAGCAGGTGGTCAATGAAGAGGAGGTAGATGAAGCGTGTGCCGCCAGGAACATTGGAGGTTAAAGGGTGGTTTTAATGACAGAGATGTAGGAACAACTGGAGAGAGAAAGTTAGTGAGAGAGAATATTTTAATGGATAAATATGGCGAGCAGGGAAGAGTTACAGACGGGAGCGCCAATAGCATGCTCCCGCGAGAACATACTGTCCAATAACTCCCCCAATTAAAAGAGCTGCTTATAATAATTTGTTATTTAGAATTTTGAGATCCATCTAACATATCATCATCTTCAGAAAAATAAATAAATTTTGAGTTCTTAAACTCTTAGATCTTACCCTTGGAAACTTAGACCATCCATGTGTTATTTTTCAGTTATATGCAATTTTTTTTAAAAAAAACACCGGTTCAAGATAGGGGTAGCGATGGGTCAGGTCAGGTTCAATGTTCGCAAAATCAAACAGGAACGGTTAATCGGATATGAGCATGAAAGCGATTTAATTGGCCTAACCAGTAAACCAGTTGATTCAACCGTTTTAATCGGACAAGTTCCAGACAATCAAAAAAGTGCTAAAAAAAAGAAGATATAAAAAAAAAAAATCTACTAAATATAAAAACATATAAAGAATGATTAAAATAAATGATATTCAAATGACGTTAAAAAGTTAATGAAAAATTTATTTTAACAAGTTCTATTGTTGAAATAAAATGAGTATTAATGACCAAAACAACTTTTAATCTTTAACATAATGTAATTAATATTAAAAAAAATACATTACAAATCAAATTCCTTATTTTTGGGAATTTATATACATTTTTTTTCAAAAACTGGTCAATCACCAAAACCGTCCGAGATCGGAACCGGCCAATTAGAACGTCCAATTTTCCTAAAAGTGATCGAGTTCTAATCCGATTGGACATAGAACCATACCCAAAAAATATTATGGGACCCAGACCTAAAGTCACTAGACCCAAACATCAACCCAAAAAAATATTATAGGATGGGGACCTAAAAAAATATTATATGACCCAGACCCAAAAATCAAAATATCTATACGTTTAAATGTATTCCATAAATTTGTTAAATATATACATATATTTTTAAATATTATAATTAAATATTTAGTTATATTTATTTAAATAGTATTTAAATACCATATATTAAATCTTATTTAAATATCAACACTATATGGGTCAGGTCCAAGTTGCATCTACATGGACCTAGGCCCGAACCCAAATAGTGTTCAAATCCAAGATTTGCACTCAGACCCGCCGAATCCAATTTTTTGACCCATACTCGAATCCAAGTCGGATATACCTGTCAAGTCCTAGGTCCGGTCCGGATCCAGTGCCACACCTAACTCATCAAAAACTAAAGTTGTGAAATGACCTCTAGCTTGAGTTCTCCTCAAGAGAGCAAATAGACAGTTTGCTCCCCCGGGGTGAAGGAAGTTCTTGTCTCGTCGAGAGGACGTACTTTGCTCTCGGTAAATGTTATTGAGAGATATATAAGGACAAATTTTAATGAATAAAAAGTAGAAAACAAGAGTAGAGAGATAACAGAAGTTTTAAACTGATAAAGAGGAGAAACAATCTGATGGATTGGATTTTTTAAAAATAAAAAATTTAAAGTTGATTTGAAATTAAATAAACATATTATATTCTTTTTAATATTTAACAAAATTCATCAAAACCCACCCATATTCAATCAAATAAAGTAAAATCGTCTTTTTTTTCCCAATTTTCAATCAAACTTATTTTCGATTTTGTAATAAACTTCCAAGCACTCATCCAGTCATACGAGCTAGTCCAGTCTGGTTAACAGTGATATTTTGAGTGATATAATTTTGTAAAGGGTGCACCACAAAACTCTATCGGAAAAAGCTGTTTTGATATTAGAAAACCATCTAATTGATCACCTCAAAATCAGAAAAATTAATTTTAAGTCTAAAAAATTACACATCTTGCAAAACATTATCTAGACCATTTAGTTTTATGATTTTCATATATTTATAGATCTGCTTGATTTAAACTATTTTTAGATTTTAAAATTTATGACTAGAAAAAAAAATAGATTTTTCCAATCATTCTAATAATTTTCAACACCAAAATTGCATCTAATGATAAAGTTTGGAGTTGCAAGGTAAGTTGATTGTTTAATGTTTTAAGTACAGGTGCAATTGGCATACGGATGCGTAGCTATAGAGGTAAGGTGTGCCTTCAAATGTTATCATGGTATATAATTTTGATGTAAAATATTCTTAGGATTATCTCAAAATCTATTTTTATATCTAATTATAAAATTTTGAATTTAAAAAATGGTTAAAATCAAGTAGATCTATAAACATATGAAAATCTTGAAAATTGACGGTGTAGATAATATATTGTAAATGCACTATTTTTTAGACTTAAAATCTTTTTATTTTTCATGATCATACATCTCAATATTGTAAAATGTATTATTTATGAAACTTAAAATCTTTTTATTTTTCATGATCATACATCTCGATGTCGAGATGATCAATCAAGGGGTTTTTCAACATTAAAGTTACTTTTTCTGGATATTTGAGGTGCATCCGTAGCTCTACATTATAAGGTTGCAACCTTATATAAACTTTATCCTTAGAGTGGTCAGTGAGAGAAAGGCACAATTTAGAGTGAGAAAGAGAGTGGTAAGTGAGAGAAAGACAACATTTAGAGAGAGAAGTGAGTGGTTAGTGAGAGAAAGATAACCTTTTAGAGAGAGAAAGAGTCGTCTTGTTCCTGCCATCAATCTGGCAGGTTGGTGAATGAATGATCAACGGCCTTTACTATCTACCACTATTTATGTTTTTAATGTAAAATTTCAAAAGTACCCCCAATGAATTAAGACAATGTACCTCAAATTTTTCAATGATCAACATTAATTGTGACCATTTTGTACCATTATCTATATTTTATATTTTAATATAATATTAAAAAAAATTCCCTCAATAATTATTGCCATCAAATACTTGTAATTCATTGAAAATGTTAAATATGCAAATCAGAGAAAGAAAATTCAAGATTTCATCACAAAAAGAAAAATAAAATATTCATGACACAGAGAAAATGAAACTTAAAAGAGGAGCAAGAAGAAAATAACAATGAATTTATATTGTGCAAGGTTTTAAAAGGCTGCCCGAGCCTGGACTTGTGACAGTCACTGGCTTGAGTCACACAGTCCGACTCTGGGAGTCCGAGTTGAAAATGGGAATGTTTAACAATGAAATTTGAAAATAACACATAAATGTGGCAAATCTGGGGGGTTTTGGCCCGGAACTGCAACAGCTTTCGATCCGGCCCAGTCTGGGTGATTCCTAGGCTCAACTGATGATTTTTTTTTATCTGGTTAGGCTGGCGATCGGCTATTCCGCTATCTAACATGCGATATTTCAATCGATACTATGAAAGTATGAGTAAATTGATTCCAGTAAGTTAATAAATAATTAATAATTTACTTTCCATCAATGTTGGAAGAGAGAAATGACTGAGAGTAAGAGGATGTTTCCTTCTCTTTAAAAAGAAAAAAGACAAGAAAAGAAAAAAAAAAGTAACAAATAATCAGTAAAAATTACATTTGTGAGAAAAGGAGATAAGGGCATTTTGGCACTTTGTGCAATTTCTCTTATTAGGGATGGCGAGCTCGGCCCTACTGATCCAACCTCAACCATCCCCTACCATAAAAATTAACAAAATATATAAAGAAATCTAAGTTTAAGGAATTTAAAAAAAAAAAGAGATAAAAGATTGTATAATCCTCAAGAGCATAAAGTCCATTCACTCCCTTGAACAAAAACGCTATTGTGTTATTTTAGGGACCACAAGGTTTTGTGTATGTAACCTCCTCAACCCAATGGCAAATCTACAAAAGAAACATCACTTCATATGTATCTCAAAAGTTACATACCCAAGGGATTAGAAATCTAAGTGATTAGAAATTCAAATTTTATTATAAAAAAAAATAATCAAAAATTATATTTTATTATATGATGATTCTAAAATTGATTATAATTTGAAAAAATATGCCAAGTAGCTCTTTTACCCAAGGGAGAAAGCATAAGAGTGTGCTCATGTGAAAATAAGATCTACTTGTTCTAGAAAGCTCTCTTATAATTTGAAATATAACAATTCAGACCTAATTAAATTTAAAATATAGAAAAGTTTATATAGGGCTGAGGCCCTAAACAATCAAATTAGAGCCTACCTCAAAACTTTTACTAGAAGAGATTGTTTTGATGGAAAAATATCCCCAAATTGATCATCTCGACATCAAGATGCGTGAACATGAGAAAAAAAAAGATTTCAAGTTTTGGAAATAGTGTATTTTGTAATGCATTTTTGGCCTGTAAATTTTCAAGAATTTCAAGTTTTCATAGATCTGTCTATCTACACTATTTTTGAAGTTTTAAACTTTATAAATAAAGATAAAAATATATTTTAAGATTTCTGATGTTGAAACCATATTTCTCGACACTATTTGTAGGTACGCTCTAATTTGATTGTATAGAGCCTATACAATCAACGCCTTTAAAATATGGCAAAAGTTAGCATACGGCGACGACTTTTTAAAGTAATGGCTCAAATCCCACGTAGAATGGTAGATCTTATGGCAACAAATTGATCATTTCGGCTTTAACATCTTCAAATTTGGAAGAAAAAAAAAATTTTAATTTTAATCCCTAAAATTAGTATATATTAGCACAGTTTGATCATTTTCAATTCTTCACAAATATACTAGATGTGCACCATTTTTTGAACTTCAAATCTCTCAATCAAGGATGGAAATGGATTTGCAGGCCATCACAGTCACTGAATCTTCAAGTAGGGTTTTACAGCACTATACTTTTGCTTTTATCATAAGAGTGCGGTTTGTATAGAGCCTAGGCTCTAAACAATAAAAATAGAGCCTACCATCAAATAGTATCGAGATATGTGGTTTCAACACCAGAAATCTTTGTAATAGTTTTAAAACATATTTTCATTTTTATTTATAAAGTTTAAAGCTTAAAAATAATGTAGATCGATAGATCTATGAAAACTTTAAAATCTTAAAAATTGATGATCCAAAAATGCATTACAAAATAC